CCATCGCTATTGGGTTGGAGGCCATTGCTAGTAGGTTGGAGGCCATTCCTATTAGTTTGGAGGTCATCGCCATTAGGTTGGAGGTCATCGGTACTATGTACATCTACATGCCGTACCATTCCATACTACACCCTCACTGTGCTATGTCCAGACCGCTCCATTTCCACATTGGCAATAGGTAAGATCATGGTGGTGCAGCGAGAGGTAAAATCGCAGGTCTGGTTACATCCTTTGGCCTTTGCACATTTTCTACAGTGCCTAATCATAGCTAGCCCATGGCCCATAGACCATGGGGAGATGGGGTTGGATTCTATCGCTGAATTTTGCTTTGCGTCAGGATCATCACATCAGCTGCTTTCGAAAATTTGATCATGGCTTGCATCGTGATACAATTATGTTTGTTGATGATGGTCCCGTTCTCAGAGGTTGGAGGCCATCGCTAGTAGGTTGGAGTCCAGTGCCTTTATTTTGGAGGTCATTCCTATAAGGTTGGAGACCAAACACGAACGACATGTGTCAAGGTCTTGCTTCGCTTGGCCTCGCTTTGCTTCGCTTTTAATTTCTCGAGGTCTGGCAGCCTCGTGATTCCGGTGGATCCTTGGAAGTCTTCTTGGGCCAAGACCTGAGGACCAAAAGAAGGAAGAAACCAACTGTAGACCATTGATTTAGACTGAATTCTGTTCTTTATTTTAGACTCTTAGACTAAAACGACCTTTTCCTAAAACGCTAGTAGCCATATCATCAGAAGCGTGAGTTATCCTGCTCCATTCGTACGGCCCGAGACTCTTGCAACGTGTTCTTCATCGTTGTTTTCCACATCGAGTGCTTTGTCAAGCTCAGTGCAGCCAGCCCAGCTGAGTGCAGCCAAAAAGGATCAAAAAGGTACTTCTCGAAAAACACTGGACGTAACTGTTCTCAGGCATTGTACTGCAACTACTTTCGAGAATACTGGAACGTTTTCGACTTCATTTGTGTCGCTTGGCCTCGAAACTTGGAGCTCAATCGCAAGTTCTTCCCGAAAGAAAACAAATGCAAAGAGTGCATACAATGCATTCGCAATGCATTCGTAGGGTTGGCATTTGCTTTGTATTTAAATTGGTTTTGTTTTCTGCTGTTATCGCTCTCGGTAACACAAAGTCAGGTGCTGACCAGCGATATCGTGGCAATCCTTGAAGCCTCCATTGCCTCAGATTCAACGGTGAGCCATAGGGTTGCCCGAGCAGCTGAAATGCATACTTTAAACATGTACTGTGGTTGGGAAATATTGATTGTACAGCTCGAATGTTTGACTGCGCCTTGATCAAACACTGCCTAAAGTCAATGATAGTAGATGTGTGACATGTCTTTTCTTCACTCACAAGTGTCACAAGTATTTGTTGAAAAGATGTTGACGACTTGACGGTCAGGTGAATCTCAGCTCCCTTGTCAATGCCCTGCGTCAGGGCTCCCAAGACTTGTCAGGGAGACGTTCATACTGGAAACCCCGTAAAGTAACAGTAAAACGCAAAAGCACATGCAATTAGGGTGGAGGCCATAGCTACTAGGTTCGAGGCCATCAAGGAACAAAACAAGAAAAGAAGGTTGGGACCTGTTTTTTGTTATTTTTAAAGGGGGTCGGCCATGAGGTAGTTTACTAGTATAATCAGCCAAGTAGAAGTGGTAGCTTTGAAGCTACTAGTATGGATGCATTAAAGCGAAGCGCTCTCACTAATCTTGTGGTTCCTAGATTTTCAGAAATCTCAGAAACACGTTAAGACAGGGAGAGACAACGCGTCCATTCTGAATTAAAGTTGATTAGGAATGGTGTAGCTCTGATGTTTTCTGGAAGAGTATGTAAGTCCACTAGCAAGCCCATACAATGATGTGCCAGCTTCATCTTCTCAAAGAGGATGGCCTCCAACCTACTAGCGATGGCCTCCGACCTAAGAGCGATGGCCTCCGACCTAAGAGCGACGGCCTCCGACCTAAGAGCGACGGCCTCCGACCTAAGAGCCATGGCCTCCAACCTAAGAGCCATGGCCTCCAACCTGAGAGCCATGGCCACCTAAGAGCCATGGCCTCCAACCTAAGAGCCATGGCCTCCAACCTAAGAGCCATGGCCTC